GTTCTTGTTAGGGTGTACAGAGTTTTTCAGACTATTTCTGAAGTCAGTTTTTTGGTGCAGGATTCAGCTTTGCCATGACAGTACCTGTACGTCTGTGTTCACTCGCACGTCCCGTCTTCTACTCTTGAGTTGGAGAGGATTAGACTATTTTTCTTTGCCTCGCAGTCAGTCTCAGATCGATTTGCCTTAGTACGTCAGCCAGATATTATTAGCTTACCACCTCACTAGAGGGGTATAATTCTAGTTGACGGAGTTGATCATAGAGGTAGACGTACACTGCTACTCCGTAGTCAGAGTTTGGCGGTTGCTGAGTACTTCATCAGCATGCGCCAAGATGGTTGTGCCACCGTCAGGATGGATTTGTGATATTGGAGGGCTACCAGTCCAATAGGGTGGCCAGACAGTTTGGGTTTTCACAGGCTACAGCCTATAACAGGCTGGTACTCCTTCCAGGGGTTACAGATGTACGACGCATAGGGACGGTTCCGCCAGAGTCCCATTTTTATGTTGTAGCTCTGACTTGGGTGCACCTGTTGAGGCTCGGGACAGGTTCTAATTTTCTTTTGGCTTAGCCGTCTGCTCAGACTGCTGTTAGTTACACACGACTGTCTTGGGTACGATAATCTTTTAGACCTGCTTTGGAGTATGATGCGAGATGGTACAAGCGTAGAGTACGATGACTTGGGTCGTCTAGAGGACCGAGATCTCATCTGGGCTTCTCAGATGCCACTTTTGACAGAGGTACCTTTCTACTATTTCCTCTTTTGTTAGTAATTGAATTGATTGGATATTGATTGCTTAATTTGCTCTTGATACATGGACGGATACTGAGGCTCACACTACTACTAGAGCCGTTATTCCTTCTCCTCCCAGAGCTTCAGATGTGACACCTGAGCCACCTCGTACCGAGACTGCCAGGCCTTCTCGCAGACGTGCCGGCTCCCAGTGTAGTTCGTCTTCTCGGATGTCTGTAGACATTCACACTTTACTTGGGGACTTCGGCGAGAGTTCACAAAGACCGAGGAGATTAGACTTTACCGGTTATAGTATGCTGGATGCTCTGGATGACTTCTCTTTTCCGGTGTACCCTTACGGGTCTTTCTACCCTGTGGAGTCTTCAGGGGCCGGTGCAGGCTTTCTTTCTGAGTTTCTTGAGACACCATCGTATACACCAGCGGCCTCAGACTTAGTATCTTCGGAGTTTTCTTTCTTTCCTAAGTGCCCCCAGACTAACGCAGAGTCAGAGGAGTAGAAGAAGGGCCCGCAACATCAGTCTGGGGGCACTCAGAAAAAAAAGAAAACTCCACAAGTACTAAATCTGAGGACGTTGGTGTATACGACGGTGTCTCAAGAAACTCAAAAAGAAAGCCTGCACCAGCCCCTAAAAACTTCCTAGGGCAGAAAGACCAGTAAGGGTACACTGGAAAAGAGAAGTCGTCCGGAGGGTACAACGTATGTTGTACCCGGTAAAGTCTGATCTCCTCGGTCTCTGTGAACTCTCGTCGGAGTCCCCAAGTAAGTGTGAACGTCTATAGACATCTGAGAAGACGAACTACGCTGGGAGCCGGCATGTCTGCGAGGAGGTCTGACAGTCTCGGTACGAGGTGGCTTAGGTGTCACATCTGAAGCTTTGGGAGGAGAAGGAACAAAGGCTCTAGTATCTGTCCCTGTATCAAGAGCAAATTAAGCTATCAATATCCAATCAATTCAATTACTAACAGAAGAGGAAAGTGTAGAAATGTACCTTTGTCAAAAGTGGCATCTAAGAAGCCCCGACAAGGTCTCGATCCTCTAGACGACCTAAGTCCCCGTACTCTGCGCTTGTACCGTCTCTCGCCATACTCCAAGGTAGGTCCAAAAGACTGTCGTACCCAAGACAGTCGTGTGTAACTAACAACAGTCTGAGTAGACGGCTGATCCAAAAGAAAACTAGAACATGTCCCAAGCTTCAACAGGTGCACCCAAGTTAGAGCTGCAACGTAAAAATGGGTCTTTGGCGGAACCGTCCCCATGTGTCGTACATTTGTAACTCTTGGAAGGAGTACCCGCCCGTCATAGGCTGTAGCCTGTGAAAACCCAAACTGTCTGGCCACCTTATTGGGCTGTTAGCCCTCCAATGTCACAAAGCCACCCTGACGGTGGCATAACCATCCTGGGCGCATGCTGATGAAGTACTCAACATTTGCCAAACTCTGACTACGGAGCAACAATGTACGTCTACCTCTGTGATCAACTCCGTCAACTAGAACTATACCCCTCTGGTGGGGTGGTAAGCTAATAGTATCTGACTGACGTACTAAGACAAATCGATCTGAGACTGACTGCGGAGCAAAGAAGAACAGTCTAATCCTCTCCAACTCAAGAGTAGAAGACGCCTGAACGAGCTGCAAAATTATAGGGAACCCTCTCTACAGAAAGTAGGTCGAAGTCTCTAAACAGAAAAAGACTCCCTGGAGGTGCAAGTGAACCCAGTCGTACAGGTACTGCCATGGCAAAGTTGAATCCTGCACCTCCAAAGAACTGACCTCAGAAACAGCTCGAAAAACTCTGTATATCCTTGTAAGAACTACAGGAGCTAGAGCAAGCCTTTGCCCCTGTGACCTAAGAGAACACTGCACCTCTGAGACCTTGTCCAAAGTGGAAGTATAAAAGTGCTGAGCCAATGTGCCAAAAATCCTGCCAACAGAAGATGCTCATCAACATCTGCTAAACCAGGAGAAGTGTAGACAGTAGAAGAAGAAAGCTCAACGGTCTCTTAGAATAAAGGGGTCCCGCGCTGCAAGCCACAGCTAAAAGGGTCGTGCAGTGACGCTGTAGTAGGAGACAGGTACCTCTCCTGAAGGAAGCTACTAACCCAAATACCTACGGGCATGGTGGCTCGGGAACACATCAGCAAACACCATGTCGACCTGAAAGTCCGACAGTAGTGTTGAAGAAGCCTGGGATAAACATCTGATAGTAACAGTCTGCCTCTCCTGTCATCATCTATTGAGAGAACCCGCTGAAATAACTGCTCGTATGGAGGGACACTCCTCAAAGCAATAACCAAAAACTGGCAGCCCCGATACTGTCTGAAGGTCTGAAAGAGTGATTGTGGGCTCCTCTTCCCTGACCCAGCACGTACTTCTACCCGAATCCCAAAACTCTACCAAACCGCGAGCCCAAGAAATGGGGAGGTGTCTGTAGTCAAACAGCGAGGCGTCCACTGCTCGAAGAGTCTCCCTGTGTGTCTGAAGTATGTAGTGGGTCCAACAAATATAACCGCTGACTGGGCTCTGAATCTATCCAAATGTTGTGTCCCTCAGCCACTCTAGAGGGGCTGACGACTGTAGCTGACTGTGGCTAAGTAGGCTCGATTGTCCATCCGGCTCAATCGTATCTGCTGCTGGCACTAGAACATCACAAGTGCCCCAACCGATCTGTGCCACAAAACTCTCCAACTGGTGGTACTCCCCGTACTGCAACCTGAGACTGGTAACCCACCTGTCCGAGTCCTCAGAAAGTTCTTGAAGTAAGGGGGAACGGGCAAAGAAACTGTGGAAGAGGTCTCGCCCCTGCAGCATGTCCCTATGCTGCTCTTGTCTATCCCGCACATCAACACTGTCATGAGGGTCATATATGTCAATAGCCTCCCAGATGGCAGCCTCGCTAGGCTCACCTGGAGGCAAGTTGTCAGGTCTCTGCTAGCGGAATATTTCCTGCAAAAATAAAAGAGAGAGAAAGTAGGTTATCTGCTGCAGTGGACTCATAGGGAAAATTTTTTCTACCCTTTAATTAAATTGATAATCAACTTAAAAATCAAAATAGGAAGAGATTATCTTTAAATTTAAAATTTCATAGCCTTAGTTAAAATCTTTTAATTGAAATTATTTTTTGAGTGGAGCTTAATAATAATTGACCCTAGATGATTCCCAATTATGTCATGGCATATAGATAAAAACCTTTACAATTAGGACATATAACTTTGCATTCCTTCTTGTCCTCTACGATATTTCTCTTAAATTTGATGTCATGTTTTAATTAAATATTTTCAGGTAGATGTCAGGTACACTAAATAAAGACATTTCTAATTCAAATAGAAATGCAAGGCCTATTGGGTAACTTTAACTACATATAGTTGAACCTCGATCACCTGTTCTCATGAGCATTTCTTATGCTTCTAAGAATTATAAGCTCCACATCTTTCTAGATCTATGAGGTAGAGCTATCTGTCTGTGAATCTATGTTTTTCTTTGAGATCATGCGACTCCTCTAAGTGACATATCAAGGTTGTTGATAGAGTTTCTCTTGGTTGGGTTAGGTTTACTACCTTCATTATTAATTCTGCTTGATGATCTGGGACAACAATTCCACAAAATCCTTGTCAAGTCATTTCTCTATTTTCATAGTTTCTTTACATATACATGCCACCCTTTTGTGCTTATTCATTCCTATTGACTTCTGAGCTCATTCTTTATGTAAATACAACAATACTTTCCATTAAGATGCATTCATTTCATTGCAGGCGCAGAATAATGCAAATATTTTGGCAGTCTTTATTGCAACTGGTTTTATCACTTGTAAGGCCATCTCTAGCCGAAAAACTCATTTTCTAGTCCAAAATGTAGTAACACTCTAAAATGCAGTATCTCATCTCCAATCTAACTCTATGTTTTAATACCAAAAAAGAAAATTCTATGTATATTCTTTCTCAACCGAATTTTCTAATTAAAAAAATGCGTCGGTGAACAGTGCCACGCCAATATTGGCGTTGCACTATTCACTTCGCGAAATTGCCGTGCGATTTGGAGTTTGGTTGGAGCTGCCTGTGAACTGCATACATGTGTAAAGCGGTCGGTTGGAGATGGCCTAATCCTCAAGACACTTTTTCAAGAGCTTTGAAGGAAAAAAATAATCTACATTTGGTGCAGAGGCTTATTTAGTACTTTTATACTATTCCATATTGTTTATGTTAGTATTGGATGGATCTATCTTTCATATATGTTTGTTTATTATTCCAGAGCAGTATCTTAGACGTAATCCTGCTGGATCAAACCAACTTGTCTGGTGGATCATGGAGAATCGACAAGAATACTTCAACCGATCAAAGCATATGCTTAGCCAAGTGAAAATGCTGACCTTCTTGTCCGATATACAGTCCAATCAATGGTTATCTTGGTGCAAAGAGGAAAATATTAAGTTGAAATCACAGCCTATGGTGGTGCCTCTTTCTGTTAATGATGAATTGGCATTTGCTGCAGGCATTCCTTGCTCCTTAAATACACCTGCTTTCAGTACTGAGAAGATGATGGGGAAGAGGGACCTCTTGAGAATTGAAGTTCGTAAAGAGATGGGTTTGTCTGATAACGACATGCTTGTAATGACTTTGAGCAGTATAAACCCTGCTAAGGGTCAGCTGTTGCTTGTTGAAGCTGCTCATTTAGTTGCTGAGAGAAATGTTTCTCAGCGAGATCCCATAGTAATAGAGAAAGAATTTTCACTTGATTCTAATCAGAACCAAGGCACCGTGAATAATGTGCTAGGGGCTGGGAAACTGGATTTGGAAGCTAACCTAACTGACTCTAAAGTAGAAGCTAAACGGAAACCTACCAATGGAGCTTCGAAGAAGAGAAGGAGAAAACGCTCTAGATCAAATGGACTCTCCTTGCGCAATGACAGTGAGACTGCAAAACAGGATCAGCGTAAGTTGAGGCGTTTATTAGCTGACAAAACTGGCGCTGAAGAACAAAGTCTCAAGATTCTAATTGGATCAGTTGGATCAAAAAGCAACAAAGTCCCTTATGTTAAAGGACTTCTGAGATTTCTTTCTCAGACTTCGAACATGTCAAATTTTGTCTTGTGGACTCGAGCAACCACTCGAGTTGCCTCACTGTATGCTGCGGCAGATGTTTATATAATTAATTCCCAGGTAAATGTCATCTATGCATCCTTATCAATTCAAGTTTATCCATAAGTTTATTTTTTCTTAGGGATATTAAAATAATTTCTTCACCGAGGTTAACTTTGCATTTTATATACAATGGCAAAGATGACATGCATAAGATCAGAGCGAGTCGTCTTAGATGTTTTGGTCATGTAAAACGGCAGTCTTTCAATGACCCTGGTAGAAAGGTAGATGTATTAGATTTGGCCTATGTTAAGAAAGATAAATGTAGACCTAAAAAACTTGGTTAGAAAATATTAGAAATGACATTTCTTTATTAGATTTAAATGAGAATTTGACTATTAACAGAACATAATGGAGAAAAAGTATTCATGTAGAAGACCCGATGTAGTGGGATAAAGGCTTGATATTGTTATTGTTGTGATGGTGGTGGTAAAGATGACACGCAGAGTTTTTTTTTTCCCCGAAACGAACACTGAGTCTTACAAAGGCTTGAACATTCAACATGAGAACTAGGTTTTTGTAGATTGTTTTGTATATTATCTTTATGTGGCTCTTCTGATTGCTTTCCCACCGGATCTATGCTGGCCACGTATATTTCCTTTGGTGTTAATGAGGTTTACAGGACATAAGTCCAAGGTTGTAGTTTGCTGCTAAAGTTTTTTTTTTAATAATTTTTTTACTTTTTTATTTTGATCCCTATTGTTGACTCATTCCTTAATGGTGATTATTTCTCTATTTGAGGACTTCTGGCAGAGCCCCAAACCCATAAAGTTTTGAATGTTTAACATTAACTATATTAGTTTCTAGATATATATTTTTTTTGTATTTTATTTATATAGCTAATTCTATAAGATGGTGGTTAAACCTGCAATGTTTTATGGCATAGAATGTTGGCTATTAAAAGAGAAGCATAATATTAAGTTAAATGTTGCAGAGATGAGGATGCCTTAGGTGGATGACTGGATTTATTCTTATAGACAGGATATGAAATGAGGATATACATGAAAAGGTTGGATTAGCTCTAGTGGTAGATAAGATTAGAGAGAGTCGCCTTAGATGGTTTGGTCACATAAAACAATGGCCTTCCAGTGACCCGGTTAGTGTCTGGAGCCTGTATAACAGGGCTAACCGGTGTTGGGCTAGTCCGGATGGAAGTGGGTTGTGAAGCTGGGTGGGTTTGATCCGGAGAAGGCTGAGCAGATTGTACGCGGGTTGGAACCGAGATGATGTTTGGTGAATCCCGCACCGAGGTTGGAGTGATGAGCAGAGGCGAGATATGCATGTCTGAGTTGTCGTCCGGAGAGTTGAGAGTAGCTGCAGACTGCATGGGATTAGAATAGGGGAATGTAGTTTCATGGAATGTGACGTGCCTGGATATGTGAATTTTATTTGTTTGAATATTTAAGCATCTGTAGCCTTTATGTTGTGAGGAGTAGCCCAAAAATATGCAGGGTTGAGACCGGGGCGAGAGCTTGTCGGGAGCATTTGGACGAAGCCAAGGGAAGCAGAGACAGCCGAAGGTACGGAGGTGGGTGTATGACGGAGCCTTGTGGTGAAGTCGTTGATACGGAGAGTTCCCGGCGAGAGCTTTGGTTGGCAGCCTATTGATCAGATAATTTGCGGTGGAAACGGCTTCAGCCCAGAGTTGCTTGGGAAGATTGGATGTGTGAAGTAAAGCACGGGTGACTTCCAGAAGGTGTCGGTTCTTTCGCTCCGTGAGCCCATTCTGTTCTGGAGTGTGAGGACAACTGATTTTGTGAGTTATACCTTGGGTGGATAAAAACGTTTTGAATTGGGTGCTGTTGAACTCTCCTCCTCCATCGGATCTTAAAAATTTTGGTGTTATATGAAACAGGTTTTTCACAAGAGAGCAAAAGTGAGTAAACTTGGAATAGGTTTCAGCTTTAGAATGCAGTAAATACAACCAACTGAAGCGTGAGAAGTCGTCGATAAAAACTACATAGTAGTTGAACCCGTTTGTGGAAGATTGAGGTTCTGGACCCCAAACGTCGGTATGAACTAAGTAAAAAGCATGAGGTGAAACAGTAGTACTTTTATTAAATGCTAGCTTATGGCTCTTGGCCAAATTACATGAAGTGCACAAAAAATTAGCAGAAACGGTAACTAAGTCCGGTAATGAGTTTCGTAGGCTTTGGAGGATGCCATGGTTCGGGTGACCTAAGCGATCGTGCCACCGTTTAACGGATCCAGCAGTGGCCATGTGGGTCTGCGGGCTGTTGACAGAGAGATCCCTAAGAGTGTAGAGGCCGTTATGCAGTCAACCATGAAGAAGAGGACGGTGGTCCTGAACATCCTTAATCACAAAGCCATTAGCATCAAAGCACATAGATACATGATTATCGGTAGTGAGTTTAGAAATAGAGATGAGATTGTGAGTTAGATTTGGGACATGAAGAAGATTGCGTAAGAGAAGCTTACGAGCCGAATCAGGAAGAGGCAGAAGACCTTGCCTGGAGTTGTGGATCGGTAGTGCAGAGCCATTTGCGACGGAAACCGAGTCCGAGCCCTGATAAGCCAAGCTGCTCTGAAGATTGTTGAGATCTGGGGTGAGGTGAGATGAGGCCCCGGAATCAAGAATCCAATCGTTCGTGGGAGAAGAGGTTTGCTGAGTTAGGTAGGCCCGAGAGTTTGCGGAGGGGATGGTCGGAGCGTATTTGAAGTTACACATGTGCCAACAGTTTAGAGCAATATGACCGGGCTTACCGCAGATTTGGCACGAGGTCTGCTCCGACTGGTTGGAGCTGGAGGGCAGTCGGTTTGGAGCTGGAGCGGAGTTCTTATTGATGTGGTTGTTGGAGTTGCGGTTCTTTGAGAATCTTGAATAGTTCTTGCCGCGATTATTCGGATTTGTCTGAACATAGAGGGCGGTGTTGTCCTGCGATTCTTTATGTGTTTCTTGTTGAACGTTGATCTCCTCACTACATAGGAGTGAATAGAGCGTATCAAGATCGATGGGATTGAGTGATGTACGAATCGCAGTTTTGAAGGAGTTGTAAGTGGACGGAAGCCTGTTGAGGATGTAGAGGATAATGTCCTCAGTGTCGAGTTGAGATCCCGACGCAGCGATATTGTCCACGAGCGTCTTGATTTGCATCAGGTATTGCTGCATCGTGGATCCGTGCATCTGGATGTGATGTAACTCGTTCTTGAGTTGAATAACTCTCGAACGATTTGTAGGTTGCATTCGTTTGGTCAGAATCTGCCAAACTTCTTGAGATGTGGACGATTTGCCAAACTTCTTGAGATGTGGACGAAGAGAGGACATAGGGGAGGATTGCTGGTGAAATTGTCGAAAACAACGCCGACATCAAGTTGCGATCTATGAGTCGCCATTTTTTATGAGCTTCGGTGGACGAATCCTGGGGACAGGGACTATCGCCGGTGAGGAATCCGGCGAACCCGTTTGCCGAGAAATGTTGCAAAAGCTGAGAGCGCGAGATTGGAAAGTTGTCGGAGGAGAGAGGCGTCGGCACCAGGTTTTTAAGATTTGAGATGAGGAACTTGAGGGAGGGAGGGATCACCAGTTCTTGAATGTCGCCGGGGACAGCAGCTGGTGAGGGAGACAGGGTGCCGGATTCTTGATCTGCCATGGCAGAGCCTTGCTCTGATACCATGTAAGAAAGATAAAAGCAGAGAGAGAGGATGTGGACAAGACAGAGAACGAGAAATAAAGAAAAGGTATATTATCTAAAGGTACAGATACAACATATATATAGTTTCCCAAAAGAATGACAGTAGAGGTAATTACAATTAAGTCTGAATAAGGCCAAAGCATATACAGCCGTTAAGAGTTAGGAGAGTTGATGTATTAGATTTGACCTATGTTAAGAAATATAGAGGTAGACCTAAAAAGTCTTGATTAGAAAATATCAGAAATAACCTTTTTTATTAGATCTAAATGAGATTTTGATTCTTAACAGGACATAATGGAGCAAAATGATTCATGTAGCCGACCCCGCTTAGTGGGATAAAGGCTTTATTTTGTTATTGTTGTTTATTTATATAGATCTCCTGATCACTCTTGGTTATTTCTTCCCATCATCTATTTGTTATTCGTGTTGTTTCCTTAGATGTTACAAAAAAAAAAATTATAATAATAAAAATAAAAATAAAGGTTTTGATATTCAAATTCTGTGAATATTTCTTATGGGAGTATATTCTATGGAACATTATGAGGTTAAATATAATATTTTTTAATCTTCACGGTCACCTTAGCTTTGTATATAAAGCGTGTCATTTTCTGTAATTGTAATACTAACTAATATAGTGGAATCTACGTCACCATTGTTATAGGAGGACTAATCTAATGTCATGTAACATCTGTCTTTTGTTAATTCTCTTTCATTTGTTTATTTTGCACTGAACTATTGGCTCTTATATTTATTAAGTTGTATACTCTAGGTTTCTTGTAGGGTTTTTTGGTTGCTAGTATTCCTAGTGTATTGCATTCCTAATGCATTTATTTAAAAAATCCCATTGTTTGGTTGGAAGAATAGCAAGTATAATATGAAATTCTAATGTATTTGGAATATATCATTTAGTTTATTTTCAATGTATTTGAATTTGTCCAATTTTAAACAAATTCCATATATAACTTTTGTGAAGTTATGTGAGCCACACCCACTGCCTATCGTCGTCCACTACTGCAAGTAGCCATTGCCTAGCTACCATTGCCATAGTTGTTGCGCCCCTGGCAAAATTATTCAACCGCTCACCATCACCACCGCCGGTGGCAAGCACCAACATCGCTGTCGGCCACCTTCTATTAACTATTTTTTTAAATGCACTACTGTTTTACTTGGATTGTTGTACTTTAAACCAAATAAAAAAAAATTGAACCTCTGTATTTATAATATACTCAAACTAACAACTTATAAATAATTTATTTTAGGGGGATTTACATGCATAGCACTCAAAACTATCAAATTTCTATATTTCACATTAAATTTATGGCACCCAAAACATCAAAATAAACTGTTGGTAAGGGTGCTAGATGACAAATAACGAAATTTAGGTGTGAAATATATTTTAGATAGTTTTTAAGTGTCATGTATGCAATTCCTCCCCATTTTCTTTTAATATTTATGCGACTTGCAAAATGATTTATAGCAATGCTATAACACGTTTGAACCAATCAGGACCTCTTCTTTTAGCAATCCAAATGAATTAAAAAAAGATGCAGAAGCTATTTTGATAATCTATCTGCTACTCTGTTCCTGTCCTCATTAATCCTACAGAATTAACAGTTCAAAATTTTGATTTTCTTTGATGGGAGTTATAGAACTTGTTTTGTTACTTTTATCCTCCTTTTTGTATTTGATTATTTTTTCATCTGCAACAAATCTAACATTTGTGCAAATTTGTTGTAGGGAGTTGGAGAAACATTTGGAAGGGTTACAATTGAGGCTATGGCATTTGGTTTGCCGGTATGGATTTCAGGCTTTAATCTCTTTCTGATCTATTGTTTTATTCCTCCCCTAAAGCTATATATTGAATTTATATTAAAATATATTGCTTTCTTTTGGGAAGGATTTTAACTATTGACCTCCACCTTAAAGATGAAAGACAATATCACTCAATCAACTTACTTTAAAATAAACTGTTATTTTATAGTATAATATTGTGTATCAACATGAATTTAGTACTGTTTGTCTTACGTCATATTATCATCATCATTTTATACAATATTCTTTTTTTGTTTTCAATCTTAGAACATCCGATGAACAAATTAATTCATTTATTTTAGGCTTCGTTTGGGACAGTTTTTTTACTGCTTTATGAAGTAGTTTTTTAGTACAATTTTTTTTTTTTAATTTGAAATTTGTATACTAGAAAGTTGCTTCATAAAAAAAGTAAAAAACCCATCCAAAATGAAGCATGAGATGGCTTTTTTGTTGATTCTTGTACTAAAAAGCTGATTTAAGAAGCAAGAAGAAAGTTGTACCAAACGAAGCCTTAATTTGATAGTGTAAGATTGCTACAATCATATCAAATACTTTCAACTCGAGTAAAATGAAATGTATCAAAAATTGAATGGGCCAACTTCAAAATTTTTTTCTGAAAGTAGTGAAGGGCATCACATTCATACATTATTCATCACGTTTGATCATTGATATTCTTACAAGATGATCCACTTAGATGACTAAGTTGTTCTTACATTATATATATTTAGTATCAATGTTCTTGACCTTTTATTTGAATGAAAGAAAATTATAAACTAATCGAATGAAAAGTAAGCTTTATGCATATAAAAAGATTGCACACTATTTATACAACACAACAATAAGTTTTTCTGAAAGCAAATATTTTCTTGCTGTTTGGTTCAGTGTTATTTAGATGGAGACTCCTACACAGAATAACTATGTTTTCACTATGGTATAGGTCCTTGGAACGGACGCAGGAGGCACCAGGGAGATTGTTGAGGACAAGGTAACTGGCCTCCTTCATCCCCTTGGTCATGAAGGAACATATAATCTTGCACAGAATATCCAGTATTTCCTGAACAATCCTTCAGTGAGGAAGAAGATGGGATTGCATGGAAGACAAAAAGTGCAAAAGAAATACCTGAAGCATCACACCTACAGCAAATTAGCTGAGGTCTTCATCAAGTGCATGAAGGTCAAATAATAGTTTCATTTGTGATCAGTTTCTTTCCTTGGATTGGAATTTGTGATGCATCAGTGAGTTCTTTAGCCATGGCTGGCAGATTATATGTTCTCTCTGCTAGTTTTGCCTGTTCTGATGCGTCTGGAAAGTTCTGGAAGAGTTGATTTTATCATTTTATGAGAATGTAAAATGGTAATGCTTAAGCTATTTGAACATGATATACTTTGATAGGAATAAAAGATGGGGTTGATTGATTTATGTTCTGTAGCCATGATTGGACTGGAAGAAAGTGTTCTTAGTGAAGTTTGCATACTAAATAGAAAGTTTTTCAATGGTCCCTCAGTTTTTGTTTTGATGGTTTTGATAGTTGGCATTTACAGTATTTGGTTTTGTTGTCAAATTTAGGGCTGCAAACGAACCGAGCCAAGCTGAGTATGGAGTGTTCATGTTTGTGCTCATTTAATATCAACTTGTTCAAGTTTGGTTCATGTTTGTTCGAGCTTTATTGTTCGTGTTCACGTTTGGTTCATTTAAATTAATGAGTGTTCATGTTCGGTTACTGTTCAGTTCATGTTCGTTCGTTTAGTGCTTATCGAGCTTGTTGGCGAACATATTTAACGAATTTTTTTTAACTATCAAACAAATATGTTCATGAACATATCTATGAACAAACATGGTTATAATAAAAGCAATTTTCTATGTAACAAAGACAATGATTATTTATATTTATTAATTTTATGGTCAAATATTAATTATTTTTATCTAGCTTATTCAAGAGTTCAAAATCGAACATGAATCAAGATTTTATCGAGCTTAATGCCGAGCTTGTTCACAAACTTCAAATGATGTTGTTCGCGAACATAAATGAGCTGAACACACTAGTGTTCAAGTTTGTTTATTTAAGAATCGAGTATTTAAAATATTGTTCAAGTTTGTTTGTTTAGCTAACTAAACGATCACAAACGAGCTTTAATCGAACCAAACATCGAGTAGCTCGTCGAACGTTTGGTTCGCTTGCAGCCCTAGTCAAATTAAATTTATTTTTTTTAATTACATTTTTTATGTTAAAAAACTATAATAAAAAGTATTTCATTAAATTTTCAATAATTTTAAAATAATTTGGGTTTTTATATTTAGGATTTGTTTGAGATAGTTTTGTCATTCTTTTGCTTTTTCAGACAGTAAATGCAATTCCTTTTGGCTATTATCTTTTTATTTTTTTTTTTAAGAAATTTACGTGGTGGGAAGTTTATTTTTACAATCAGAGTTAGGCTTTGTTTGGGGCAGCTTAAGCTTTTAGTTTTTTACTTTTTAAAATTTTTTTCTTGATTACGATTTTAAAAATGCTTTCCAAAAATAGGTTTTGAAGGCAAAAGTTTGTGAAATAGTGGCAAAAAACTATCTTTCAATCACATTATTTTACTTACAAATATTTTTTTTTATGATCAAAACAATTTAAAAGCTATTCCAAACAACTTGTTAATGTGTGATGACTTTAAGAAAATGATTATTTGATTTCTTAATAAAGAATATATTTGTAATATTAAAAAATTTAAAGAAAATATGTTTTTTATAATAATTGTACAATCATTTTTATAAAATATTACGGTCGTCTTACACACTTCTAAAATATATAAACATGAGTAGGGCTGCAAGCGAACCAAACGTTCGACGAGCTACTCGTTGTTCGGTTCGATTAAAGCTCGTTTGTGATCGTTTAATTAACTAAATTAATTATTTTTTAGATCAAATTTTTAGTATAAAAATTTTTTAAACTAAAATTTACTTTAAAAAGTAGCAAAAAGTTGTCCCAAATAAAATTTAAATGTATTTCTGTGCTATTAATGGATCATATATGCTTATGTCAATATCATGTTACTCATAAATGAATTTGGCTGGAGGAAAGAAAAGAATATTTAATACTAGTTTTTAATTAATGAGCACATAATATATTTAAAATAATTATTTGTTTAATTAAATATAATATTATTAATCTATATTACTACTTATTATGTTATTATAATTATATATATTGGAACCGGCCCTGCACCTAAAATTGGGCCAAATTTGTGATGCAAACCCATCTCCCACGCATCAGCTCATGTTGTCCCAGAAAAACTACTTTCAGATGTTCTAGAGGGCCTTCAGATGCCATAGCTTAGCCCACATAGCCCACAAGCGTCAATCGATCAAGCTAGGACATGCTAATTAGATTAATCATGCCAAAAAGTTTACTAAAACCAAAATTTGAAACAAACAGACAGATTAAGCTCAAGGTTTCTTACAATGTGCTTACAACAAACATGTTAGTATCTGCCACTTAATAATGACATAAAAATGATAAATAAGAATTTTTAAGCATAAATTTGAATCAATGGATGAAAAAAGAGGCTTCCAACAAGTAGAATAAATTTTGAATGCATTATTTATTATGCCTAAAAAAAGCTTTAAAGGGCTGTTTGGTTTGAGCATTTTGGGTGCGAAGTAAATGAAATGCAAGAATTTTTATTTTTTGGGTATTTTGTTTGATGTAAAGTAAAAGGAATGTAAAATTTTGAAGGAATAGGAATCCCTTGAAATTTTCATTTACGACGTATTCAAAACAACTCCTCAAAACCCACCACATTCTCTCTCCTCCCTTATGTGTTTCATGAAACACACACGCCCTTTTGCTCCTGCGAGGTCGCGAGTTCCACCTCTTTCTTCTTCGAGCTCATGATTTCACAGAGAGAAGTACCCTTGCCACAACAACTGTCCAGAAAACTTCGATTAGATTCCGTTTCCCTTTGAGCTCTGCTAGGGTTTGAGCTCCTTAGCCGCTGTTTTGCTCCCGCCGCCTTGCGCCTCTTCAGCCTGGGAGGGTTTCTTCCCTCCCCTCCATGGCTTCTTCCAAACCAGGTTTTCCTCCCCTACCTGGCTCCTCTGTGTTAGGCTCTCCAGCAGGTTTATCGTATGCTGCAAATGTCTCGGCCCCGGTCAACGTGACAGCCCCTTTCCCGGTCTCTTTTCACTCCCCAGGTCAGAAACTTTCCTTCAACTCTGGAGATCTTGTTGAGGGCAAAGAAATCTGGAACTCCGCCCTGATCGGCTACTCGCTTGGTCCCCGACCTTATTACGAGAGGTTGCTCAAAGCCATGCAAAAGCTTTGGCCTCTCAAAGGTTCCATGACTCTTCTGTCTTTGGCGGACGGCTTTTTCCTCTTGAAGTTCACATCTCCTGAAGACCTTGAATCTGTCTTATCTGGCGGTCCCTGGTTCATTCTGGGCAAACCTTTCATCCTTCAGAGATGGTCGCCGAAGTTTAAACCCAAACGCGATGAAGCTACGCCTATTCCTATTTGGATCAAAATAGTGGATTTTCCGCTTGCGCTTTGGACTATGATTGGTGTCTCCAGAATCGCCAGTTACATAGGTATTCCTATCTCTGTTGACTCTCTCACGGCCAGCAGAACTAGGCTTACGTTCGCCAGGGTATGTGTTCTCATTTCTAAAGAATCTGCTCTTCCTGATGAAATTCCTTTGGAAATAGATGGTGAAGATATGATTTTGAAAGTTTTATATGACTGGAAACCGGATAAATGTGAAGGGTGCGGTTCGTTAATTCACCCTTTTTCTCTGTGTCCCAAGAATCCTAATCCTCAGCCTATGCTCCCGCCCAAACCACAGAAAACCAGAGGACGTAGTTTCTCCCGAGCACGTTCTTCGCGACCTCATCGTTCTAAATCCAAGGTGCCTTCCCCTAAACCTCCACTTGCTGATTCTACGCAAAATCCTCCTCTTCTTACTCACATACATTCCTCTTCTCCCGATAAAACGGCTTCGAACCAGCTCGCGCCGGTTTTATCACCTCCAAAAAACCCCCCGATCCCGAACCTTAATATTCCCACTGAAGATATTTCTTCATCTGAGAATCTGATAACCCCCAAAACCTTACAAAATCCAGTCATTCCTTTGCTTAACAAATTTGCCACTTTGCAATCGGATGATTGCAGCACCTCCAATACTGTTGACTTAAGTTCTGAGAACGAAATCGTGCTCTCAAAACTAGTGGAAGATCCGCCAGATTTGAGAAATCTGGGATCCAAGCAGCCACAAACTAGATCATCGGTCCAAGTAGGAAAAAGTCCCAAGAAGTCAAAGCCTCCGAAAGGGAAATCGGCCAAGAAGGCCAAAGGATCATCGTCCTAATGTCCTTGCCTTCTTTTGCCAGTTGGAATGTTCGTGGGTTTAACAGCCCAGACAAAGTTCGTCTCTGTAAATCCTTGATCACCTCTCATGATCTTAAACTTCTCTGTATTTTAGAAGCAAAAATTTCTGCTTCTTCTCTGCAAGATCCTTGGTTTATTAATTCTCATGTCCTCTTTGAGAATGAAGGTAGCTGCAATAATTTTTTGGAATCTAATCCGGGTAGGATTTGGTTGAAATGGGACTCGAAGACAATCTCGTTTTCTCAAATTTCTTCTTCATCTCAACTTATTCATGGGATCCTCTCTATGGGATCTTTCCCTCCTATGTATATTTCTGTTGTTTATGCCTCTAATAATATTGAAGAACGGAAAAGCTTGTGGAAACAATTATCTGATGCTACCCCTCCTCGGGATCAGCCTTGGGTAATTCTTGGTGACTTCAATTGCTGCAGATTTGTTAATGAAAAAGCTGGGGGAACTTCTCTTTCCACTAGCCGTTTGGGGGAGCTGAATAACCTTGTTTTTAACTGTGGGGTTCATGATCTTTCTTCCACTGGACTTTTCTACACTTGGTATAATCAAAGGGTGGATACTCCTATACACATCAAGCTTGATAGAGTTTTGGTTAACTCAGCATTTCTGGATTACTTACCCTCTGCGTACTACAAAGTTGAACCTCCCATGGGATCAGACCACTCTCCTTTAGTTCTAAAATCTTCTACGGATAAGCCTATATCTGCTAGGTTTATGTTTAAGAACTACTGGATCAATATGGATGGTTTTTGGGATGAGGTGCTCAAGGCTTTTTCTTCTAGATCTCCTAGAAGTCCCTTGGCATCTTTTTACCACAGCTTGCACACCCTTAAAGGGGCTCTTAGAAATCGGAATTGGGCTTCTTCCTCTTTTCTATCCTCTGCAATCCAAGAGCTTAAAAACAAACAACTCTCTTGTTTACTTGAGATTCAATCGAATCCTCTAGATTTGGAGCTTAATAACTCTTTAAAAGTTGTCAATGATGATCTTGCTGATGCTCAAAGGAATTGGTCATCCTGGATTGCTCAAAGAGCTAAGGCTCGTTGGCTCACGCATGGTGAAGAGGATTTGGGTTTCTTGTATGCCAAAATTAGAAGCAGACACAATAGGAATTGCATTAATGAGATTTCTACGAATGATGGGATCTTCACCTCATTTATAGATATCTCTAAAGCTCTTGTTACTCATTTTAAGGATTTGTACAACACCTCGGCACCATCTTTTGATTTGCCTCTAAATATTCCTGCCGGAAATGTTGTTCCAACGCATATGCACAGTATGTTGGTGGCCCCTTTAACCTTTGAGGAGGTTAAAAATGCTGTTTTTGATGGGAAAGTGTCTTCTGCCCCAGGCCCGGATGGTTATTCTTATGCTTTTTACAGGAATACTTGGCATATTCTTGGTCCACAGCTTTTCAACGCCATTAATCACTTTTTCACTACTGCTTCTCTTCCTAGAGGGGTTAAGGCGTGTGCTATAACTCTTATACCGAAATGCTCACATGCTTCTAGCATTAATGATTATAGGCCTATCTCACTTTGCAATGTATTTTATAAGATTGTGGCTAAAATCATTGCGGAGAGATTTAAAAAGGTGCTCCCCTTCATCATTCATGATAGTCAATCTGGTTTTATTGCAAACAGATGCTCCACAGATAACATCATTCTAGCCTCTGAAATTCTTAGGGATTTTAAAAGTTCCCACAAGCGGTTTTGTGCAAAACTTGATATCAGGAAAGCTTTTGATTCTGTTTCGAGGGAATTCCTGCTTACTAGGATGTTACAGAAAGGTTTTCCTCCCGCCTTTGTTTCATGGATAAAAGCCTGTATATCTGATGTTTACTTCTCCATATGTCTGAATGGATCACTTGAGGGGTTCTTTAATTCTACCTCTGGGCTCCGACAGGGATGTCCTCTATCTCCTTTATTATTCTATGTTGTGATGGACGGGCTTTCAAATATTTTGAACAGAAACTCTATTTTTAAAGGGATTGCTTATAAAGACGTACATATCAATCACCTTATGTATGCTGACGACTTACTGGTGTTTGGGGAGTCTACCAAAGATAATGCTGAGACTCTTAAATCTTGCTTGATGGATTTTAGCTCTTATTCTGGACTTTTTATTAATGAAGCCAAAAGTTCTATACTTTTCTCTCACAATGATATTTTGGCCCAATTCATCTCTGACACTCTTGGTATTCACCAAATCAACACCTCCCTTACTTATTTGGGTCTCCCCATTTCTTCTAAAAGACTTAAAAATACTCACTTCCAACCACTCCTGAGCAAAATTTCTGCTCTACTTGATGGTTGGAAAATCAAGTTTCTTTCCTTTGCAGGTAGAGTGCAATTTATTAAGTTCACCGTGACAAACACTATTGCCTACTGGATTAGAGGTGCGATTATACCCAAGTCTTGTTGTGCTTATATCAATAAGATTTGCTCAAGATTCTTGTTTCACAGTAATATTCATGAGAAAAAATTGCACCTTATTGCTTGGGCTAAAGTCACTTTGCCTAAGCACTATGGCGGGTTGGGCATTCCATCAATTGAAGCTTTATACCATGGGGTTTTTTGCTCTTTCATTGGCAGATTTTATAATGCTCAAAACCTTTTATGTAGCTGGTATAAATCCAAATTTATTTCTCCTTGGAAGAATCCTCCGGTCACTGCTTCCAAATTTTGGAAGAAAATTAATGCCACTGCTGCCAAAATCAGGGGTTATATCACCTTCACTGTGTCTAATGCTTGCAATTTTTCTTTTCTTTGGGACCCATGGTTTAAAGACATGATTCTTGCTGAGCAATTTGTGATTCCAAACTTAGAGGAGAAACTTGTGAAGGATTTTATTGCTAATGACACATGGAACTTTCCCCCTAATACTCCTTCGAATCTAACTGCTGCTATTGCGGGTTTGAACTTGAATGTGGTGTCTGCTATACTTTGGAATGGCTCTAACAACTGGAAATTTAAGGATTTCATTGAACATTTTCATTCTCATCTCACTCAGGTGGATTGGTTTGGGTTTGTTTGGCATAAGAAACACTCTCTTCGTTATGCCTGCTATGCCTGGATGGCTTTGATTGGTAAACTTAAAACTACGGACAACTTAATTTTTAGGGGAATTCAAGTTGATCCTCAATGCTTTCTCTGCTCCAGTTCTGCTGAGAGCCATGCTCACTTGTTTTTTGAGTGTGACTTCTCTTTTAATATTCTCAAGTACATCCTACCTGATTTTAAAGTTTTTCTGCTGAGACCTAACTTATTTCAGGCTTTTGAATTTATTGCTCAGCATGAATTTTATTCTAGTACTGAGAAGGATTTTTGTTGCTTAACTGTGAGCTGTATTGTTTACCACCTATGGCGTGAGAGGAATAGCCGTAGATTCTCAAATATTAGAATCAATCCGGTTAAATTGATTTGCAATATCACTGCTGCCATTCGTTTAAAGATTGCTAAATGGAAAAACAAAGAAATGCTTTTGATAAGGTTTACGGGTATCTAATCTCACCGTTTCTCCTGATTGTTTCATGTTTCTGGAATATCAATGCTGATTGCCCATCTACCTATTGCTGCTGCTACGGATGTCTTGGTGTTTTGGGAGTTTCGCTAGCTTCTGCTGATATTTTCACGTTATTTCAGACCTGGGAAGATCATTTTGGGGCCTTGGCTGTTGCTCTTTTTATGCCAGGTCCGGTTCGCTTTTTTGAAGAACATGGTGCTCATTTCTTGGGTTTACTGCTTTGGCATTTTTGCTCCCGTGGGATACTACAGCTGGGCGCTATCTTACAATTGGACAATGATGTGAAGAACCAGATCTTTAGCTGCCCTGGACGGCCTGCCTGGCAACCGGGCGGGTATTTCTCTCTTTCCGCAGGATGGCTCTGTGACGGTCATCTTCTTGATAATTGGCAACTGGAGCCCCTGCTGTGCCGCTGTGGGTTTATTTTGATGGCTTAATCTGATGCATTTGTTCTGGTTCTTTTATTTATACTGAGTCTTCTTTTTGTAACTTCCCAGCTGTGGTATCCTCCACGGCTTTGCCGCTTGTTCTTGCTGTTTTTTCTTTTGCTATCTTCCCTACAGGTTTTCTGTTTTTCTGTAAATAAATATAATATATAGGTAATTGATTAAATTTTAAATTACTAATCTCATAATAAATCTATGACAAAATTTTAGTCATAAGATTTTTTTTTTTTAACGTGTAATTATATCAATTATTGACGCATTCAAATTCCAATTGATGAAGCGAAAATAAAGTCCCTCAACAACATAATAAAACAAGTATATTTCTCTTCAATGACTTAGGCTTCGTTTGGGAAGGCTTTCTTGTTGCTTCTTAAAGCAGCTTTCTAGTACAAAAATTTTAATTATTGAACTAGAAAGCTGCTTTAAGAAGCAGCAAGAAAGTCGTCCCAAACGAAGCCTTAATGTGTAGTTTTATCCAATCATAAGATTTTGAGTTCAAGGTCTACTAATATTTATTTTTATGTGAATTTATGATTAAATTCGCTCCAAATCTTTTGAAATAAAAAAGATTGTAAATAAATTCATAATAATTTATGAGGTCCTAAAGCCCAAGCAAGTCTGACCTCATAACATATTTCAAGTAAGGTCATTGTCATGTCTTGCTCCTTTAATGCATTTTAAGTAGTAAATTTTTATTTTTTACTTAGCATTGTTCTAATAATTCATATGAATTTAAATGTAATTCCATTAAAAAATTAATTATTAGGACAATCAAAAGGCCATAACTTAAAAAAATTTAGCTTGATAAGACTTTATAAATTTAATAATTATTTATTCTCAAATAAAGTGAATAATTATCTTGAGACAGTTTTTTTAATGTTTCTTGACACAACTTTCTAATAAAAAAATTTTAAATTAATTTTATATACTAAAAAACTATTTTAAGAAATAAACAAAAAAGTCATCACAAACCAAGCCTTAAGTTATAAGAATATAAAGAACATTCATTAATAGAAAAGAATAAATTTTAAATATTGAATTAAAATTATTTATGAGTAAGGGTTTATTTGAGATGGTTATAATTTTTTTATAAAGATAATTAAAAACCTATTATTGAAAAAATAAAATTTTAGAAGTTATGAAAAATAGCTTTTTAGTAAAAATAAAAAATAAAAACAACAAAAAATAATAATCAATATAAACTATGATTGAGATTTAAAAAGAAAATAATGAGAAAGTTATCCCAATAAATCCTAATTATTTTCACTTCTAATATCTCATTTATCGCTTTTTTCTCTTAAATTTCTATCTTTTTTTATGATCTCTAACTTAATTGTTTATAAGATTTTTTTTTCTTTGAAAAAAAATAGAAAGAGATAAATAATGATAAAAATAAATAAATATTATTCTTTAAGACTTTGTGTTAAGTAACATAATTGTCACATAATTTATTTTATTTTTTTAATTAAAATTATGAGATATGACTTTTTGAATTAATTTCAATCACATTATCATAAAATTTCAACAGTTCTGTAGCAAATAGAAGAAGAACTTAAAAACAAAACAATGAAGAGAGAGAGAGAGAGAGAGAAACACAGAGAAAGCATTCAGAAGCCAATTAAATCACCGTTCATCATCATCACAACGGTCCAAAATGATCCACGAAGCAGAAGACCAGATCAGAAGATATCGAGGATATCAAGAATGAAGCCATTGCAGAGAGGGCAATTTCCTCTACTCACCCAAAGCTCCCTTGAACAGAGACGACAGAATGTATGGCCGCAGGGGATAAAGGCCGCGCCTTTATTCCTTACCTTACAGACGCAGCACACAGACGCAAATTCCCCGTCGTTTTCCAATAAATTTCCTTCCTTCCCTTCTTGTTCTTGTTCTTGTTCTCCTTCCAATTCGTCCTCGTCCGCCAGTAGCGCCATTAGCGATAGCTTCACGGGCATCTCGGTCTCTTCGTGCTCATCGTGGATGATTTCTCTCAGTGTTTTTGCCATGCTGGTTTCGTTGGGGACGCGAGAGCTGGGATTGGAGCTTCGGTTGTTGATCCTCTCCATTGTAGGTAGCGATCGATCGGGATCTGAGAATTTCTAAATCCAGAAGTGATTTGTTTACTTAAGAGGAAGATCGGTTTCTAGGGTTTGATTTATTCGCTCTCTCTCTCTCTAATGGGGAATGGGGCAGTTCATATAGGGCCATAGGCACGGAAAAAAAAAATTTTTTTTGTTCAATTTATTCTCGCTAAATTTACATTTTTAATATTTTTTATTTTTTTATGTTATCTTATAATACTTATGATGATATATACCCCTTATACTATTATACTATAAAATAAATTTTGAATAAAAGGTCCTATATGACCAAAAATTATTAAATTCAGTCAACAAAGGACATTCATAGGCAAATGAGAATGCGTCATGTCATTTTTTTACTGTGTATCACTGCTGTGTACTACTCAGTATCATCAAATTTCTCCTATATGATTCATGATTTTGAAACGGGAAAAGGACATTCATAGGCAAATGAGAATGCGTCATGTCATTTTTTTACTGTGTATCACTGCTGTGTACTACTCAGTATCATCAAATTTCTCCTATATGACACATGATTTTGAAACGGGATACCTTGATAAAGATTATATTATGTAGTGACTAAAATTGTTTACTTATTATTATTATTATTATTAAAAAATAAATGATCAAATTATATTATAACTTATTTAAATTATTTGTTTTTTTTTTCTTATTTATTAGTATGATTACCCTATTTTTATTAATTAATCTAAAATATATTATTAAAAAGTTATAATTTTCTTAAAATCAAAATGAGTTATCATATTAGGTTCAGGTCGTTCGAGTTGTTATCGGGTCAGATTTAGGTCTTTTTTGACGTTTATCAAACAAGACGGATTTGAATTGATAGAATTTTGATAGGACCAACTTAAAGCCATACCCGAACCGGACCCAACTCGTTTTGACACCCAACCTTTCATAACTAACGCTGCTCACGTAGAGGGAAATTATTGGGTTCGGACACCGGACGATGTCCGGAGCCCAATGAAAATGCGCCACATCACCTCATACTCGGTATTGAGCTCTGAATGAGCTCGGTACTTCACAGTACCGAGTTCAATATTACTGGGTACTGTGAAGTACCAAATGGTAAGCTGTGTCCAATGTCCGAACCCAATAATCTCTCCCACGTAGAAGCCTATTCTATCTCTAAAAACAAAGCCTTCTCTCCTCTCCAAACCCCGAAGCAAACTGCAACATAGAGGAGAAGATCGCTAACAAAGATGAACAACTAGAGAAAAGAAGAAGAGAACGAGATATATATTTCTCTCCCTCTGATAACAAATATCGATCAAAGACTCACATTCATCCTATCTTTGATTATTCAACGTGAAGAAAAATCTCTGCAACTGTCATATCTTTCGTCTGCTCAGACGATTCTGCCTCCCTCCATTGAGATCTTTTGATCCGAGCCTTAGGAGAGCTTTCGTCTGCTTTGTCATCGACATTATTTTAATAAGCTCAGCCCCATATTTTAAATTCCTCCAAAAGGGAACTCTATAGTAGTGGTCGATTTCCATACGGGTAAGTATTTTTTCTTCCACCAGCAAGCAACCATGCATACACTACCAGAAGATAATATAAACTATATAAGTGAGCAATCATAAGCATAAGGTAAAACAAAAATTGTAGGAATGTCCAATGGACACCTAAATGCTAAGGTTTGCAAGTGTTGTTCCAGGACTTAAAAGAAATTCATTGAATACCGGTGGAACATCCTACCGGCGGTTAAACTAGCGGTCGAACTGCCGTTATTTTTCGGCGGTCAGACCGTAGGTAAAAAAGACTAAACAGTCGAAAGTTCCACTGGTATTTTGTTTTTATGATGTATTTACCGGTGGTTTAGCCGCCGTTGTTAAGTGAACATTTTCAGGTAGGTTAAATCGCCGGTAAGTGACCTAAAACTGAACCCCCTGTAGAAACTTAACATAAAAGAACTGAGAGGAAATCAAGACCCAAACGGGAGAAAAGAATAATGTTATTATCTATTTGTAATACACTTAGAGGCTATATATTTAGAGCATTACATATAGATTGTACAGCTGTGCAAGTGTAACAGGCTAGGGATTAATGTACATAATGATGTGGTACTAATTATGTTTTCTTTTTATCCTATAATAGTCCCCTGCAAACTGACGGATCTTTGGTGATTGTTAGTTTGAGCCTCAGAAATTGAAACCTAGGAGTTGTTAGATTATTTGTAAAGGTGTCGGCGATTTGGTCAATGGAGCTGATGGGACGTAGTCATATGTGATTATTTTGTATGTGATCACGAATTAACCTGTGATTTATTTCAATGTGTTTCGTTCTAGCATGAAATACAGGATTGTTAGCTAGAGCTATGACCGATGTGTTGTCGCAAAATAGATCAATAAGGTTGTGGTGGTCTATGTTGAAAAATGAAAGAAGCTATTTGATCTAGATAATCTCGGCAGTGGCAGCTACTAAGGCACAATACTCGGATTCGGTGGGGGATCTTGCTACTGTGCTTTATTTCTTGACAAACCACGAGATTAGTGTCTGACCAAGAAATGAACATTATCCGGATGTGGACTTTCTTGATAGTGGATCGTCTGCCCAATCGGCATCGGAGAACGTATGAAGTTGAAGGTTTGATTTGGTGATAGGTAGCTCAAAGTCGAGTGTGCCGCTGAGATACCAAAGAAGTCTCTTCAGCAGATAGGTATGATTAGCCAACAAATTGTGCATGTGTTGTGATAGAACATTAATCGCAAATGCAATATACAATTGCGTCAATGTTAGACACTGAAGAGATCCGGTTATGCGCTTGTAGGTGATTGGATCTGAGAGTAATGGATCTGAATTGATGGTAGATGATATCTTGGTACATGTTGGGTTTGCAAATGGATTGCAATTTACAAGATTTGCTTTCTACAGAATGGACTCGGAATATGATCTTTGTTAAAGAAAATGTCCAATTGTAACAGATTATATGCAGATACCCAGAAAATAGTTCACAAGTCCCAGATTTTTTATAGTGAATTTTGCTTCAAGTTGAGCGATGAGTTTGGAGAGAGCAGTGGAGTCATTACCGGTGAGCAAGATGTTGTAGATGTAGACGAGCGGGTATATTCGAATGTTGTCTTTCTTGTATGTGAGCAAAGATGGATCCACCTAACTGTGCTGGAAGCTGAGAGAGAGTAAATAATTTGTGAAGGTGGTGTACCATTGTCGTGGTGCTTATTTGAGTCTGTAAAGAGCTTTGTGTAGAAGAAATACATGATCAGGATGAGACAAGTCTTCAAATCCTTTGGGTTGTTTCATGTAAACTGTCTCGGTTAGATGCCCATGAAGAAATGCATTGGTGACATCAAATTGTTGAATGTTCCAATTTTGAAATGTGCGACGACAATGAGGATATGAATTGTGGGAAGTTTTGTGACGGGGCTGAATGTTTCCGTATAATCTATGCCATGATCTTGGTGATTTCCTTGAGCCACGAGACATGCTTTGAAGCTAGCAATGGTGTCGTGCGTATGTCTTTTTGTTCTGAAGGTTCATTTGCGACCTAGAATGGATGCATTTGGGGGAGAAGGAACTAGAGTCCAAGTCCTTTATTTTTGTAAGGCAAAAAATTCTACCGCCATAGCTTGACGCCATTTAACGAGTTCGATAGCTTCATTCTAGGTTGATCGTTCGGATGAGTTGGCAGTGGATTTTTGATGTAGCAGATTCAACCTGTTGCAGGGCCTTAGAGAACCATTTGCAGTCGTGTAATCATATGATGCTTGGGAGGCTGAGATGGATTTAGATGTATAGCTCTGATACCATGTAGAAACTTAATATAAAAGAACTGAGAGGAAATCAAGACCCAAACGGAAGAAAAGAAGAATGTTATTATCTATCTATAATACACTGAGAGGCTTTATATATAAGCATTACATATATATTGTACAGCTGTGCAAGTGTAATAGGCTAGGGATTAATGTACATCATGATGTGGTACTAATTATGTTTTGTTTTTATCCTCTAATCCCCCCTCCTTTTTCCTCATTTCGCCTGGCTCATTTGGTTCATCCAGAGAACGTCCGCGCTCGCCAAATTCCGCCCTACCACAGTCGCGTGCTTGTTTGGTACTTCAAAGAAGCCGTGACATTCCGCCCTTGCCGAATTAAGTATTTTTTAGCTTCTAATTTATCATTCAAAAGATATTCAAACCTGCAATGTCTACAATGGGATCAAATATTTACTATGCATACATTTGATGTTGATGTGTGTTTAATTACTTTAGGAGATGTGTCAAGTTATTTTTCATAGAAATATTTTTTAAGAGTGCAATAGTTCAAGCATGAGGATAATGAAAATTATTCTTGGAATTTAAAACTCTAAAAACTAATGAGTGATCTTTGAAATATTGTTGGCTTAAGTTATGTTTTATTTCTTACCTACGACCTTCAATGAAATAGATATGGATAATATAATAATCTTTTGACAAATAATGATTACCCATAACACATTTAAACATTAAAAAATTATAACATTATCAATCTTGCTCAAAATTGATCATGCAATTAGTATTTATAATCAATGAAAAATAAATATTAATCTTTATGTCTATATATTAGACTAAGTAGAATTTATTTTAATAATAACATCAAATCCATTAAACTCATGAGCCCAAAAAACTTTAATTAGATTTTGATGATAACAAATATTACTAATAAAATACAATTGATGATCTCAATCTAGAGCATACAAGGAACATATGCATCATAAAAATAATTCAAACATAAGAAGGAAATATGAATAGTTTGGGAAAATATTGAGTCTTTTTTAAGTAAAAACAAACCAAAAATAAACTTTGGAGATACACACCACATGGGCTTATTGCTTCTTATTGATGTATTTATCACACCTTTAAATTACCTATTTTAATAATTCATTTCACAACTATGTAGGGAATGTTTGCTTTAATTAACATCCAAATGACTATTCAATAAGAGAGATATTGGATGTATGACAGATTATCACTGGGTCGAAAAAGATTGACAAATGAATTTATGGAGGGAGTTAAGACTTTTATTCAAGTCGTACCTTCGTTTAAATCCGATTAAATATTTTGATGTCCATACTCGAAACACAAAAATTAAGCATTCCTTAAGCCCA